ATTTTATTTTAATGTTGTTGATCATAGCATTCGTTCAAAGTGCCCCCTTTGTATGTAATCAGCATTACTACATACTCAGAAGACGGTATCAATCGTGATAAAAGAAATTTGTGACTTGTTCGATAGTTCGGTGAAATCGAATAGTTCCAAGTAGAATAACCGTTTTATCGTCTCTACTCTTGTGGAATGAAGTAAGGGCCGTCAACGATAATCCGACACAATCAAATTACTATTTATTTTCTAAATTTCTTAAGTCAATTTAATTTGAATCCATACGACAGCTCAAAACATAAATAGAGGAAATATTTTTGATGTAAAATTTACAAAATTATTCTTAGTTATCACCAAGAAATCAGCATTAACGTTGTTAAGAAGTTGATGATGAATGCGATACCTGAAAAAAGTTATTCTACTTGAGCAAATCCCTAATTTTCGATTTTCTGAAAAATACACGTTCTCACCTATTACTGCTGTAGATGACTCCGCCAATGGTGTCGTTGATGCAGTTTCGTTTGATGCATCACTTGTTGGTAGAGTAGGAGTAGTAATTATTGTTGTCATTTTTGTCATTTCTGTTGTTGGAGTTGTTCTTCTTGTTGTTGTAGTTTTTCCTTTTGTTGTTCTTGTTGTTGTTATGGTTGTTGTTGACGTTTCTACCGTAGGCGAAGGCGAGCTTGATGCGTCCATTACAGGTGTGCTTGTTGGTGGTTCCGTTGGAGGAGAACTCGTTGTCGAACTTGTTGAAGTTGTTGTGCTAGTTGAGGTCTTCTTTGTTGTCGTGCTTAGCGTCGTTTTCATAACTATTCCTAGCCAGTCAGCAATATTCTTCTCTATGATTTCACGAGCTTTCTTTAACTCTGGTAAATCGATTTCCCTTTCTGGGTACGTATCTGCGCAATGGGCAGTGCCTCGAATAAAACTCTTTTAGCAACAAAATTAGGATCAAGCAATTTTACAGTAGCCCTAGCCTAGCTCACCATTGATTAGAATAGGAACTACGGAAGCATCATTAGACGTGAATTTCCCAAGTGCATGCCAAGGATCGATTGAACCATTTGGAAGCACCACTTTCGTAACCTTGAAGTAATGGTCATCGCAATGAGTTTGTAAAAACGCTTGAAAGCTCACGTTAAAGAAGTCGATGCCACCGTAATGATGATTGGTATCCTTGACACTTTTTTGAACTGCTATTGCTGTGTACTGTTCGCCGAATAAATCAGTACATATACGCGTGAATAAGCTAAAATATAGCTCCATTGGTTCCAGAAGCTAAATATGTAAAAGTGCTTAAAAATCTGTTAAACGTGGCCACAACTAGAGACTTCATATGCTCAGTCGATATAGCTGCCTTATAGATTTTTCAGATGAAATGCGTAGGTCGACGTCTTCATATCTTATTTGACATGATTTCCAGGCGCTTCACGTCAAATAGAACAATATGCTATTAAAATATG